CAAAAGCCTAAAATCGAAAAAAAGTTTACAGGAATCGACCAATCGAGCGAGCGCTATTCCCCACATCGTATCTACAACTCGCTCTTGCGCATTCGCGCAATCCACGAGTTAAAAAAGGAATAAAGTCGATTCTCGTTTGTACAGAGGATGTAGCGTGGGGTTTCCTTCTTTTTACTGCGAGTCGACACTAAAATTCGAAAAGTCTTTGGAAGCTGACTTTACATCTGAAGAAGATGTTCAAACAACTCCCCATTGTCCATGCCCCACCCATCCCTCTTCCAGCACCATGTTGATTAGCGTTATTCCTAGAGGGTTCTCACGCACAGTGTGCAAAACTGACAACTTCTTTATCTTTTTCATATTCCTCACGTAATATTTTGAGTCAAATTACATGGCCTGAGTGGAATAGTGGGTGTGCAACTTTGTGCATCAACATCAAACGTTCGAAAATTGCGCAAGTGTGAAATTTCATCCATCGTGATTGTACAGAAATTCAGCCACCTTACAAGACCCCGCCCGGTATTCAGCAGCCACGGCAGATTAACAAATATATGTTTTGTACGCGCTTTCCTTACTTTGTAAAGAGTTCAATGCCCCGTTTGAACGCTATTTTGATACACGGTCCCTCTTCTAGGTCTTGGGAAACCTTTATTTACAAGTTCGATGTAACGTACAGCGTCCAGTTGTCCAAAAATATAGCTATCCATCGGATAAAAAACTATCCGGCGGTTGAGTGTTCAAAAGACGTACCGCGCTATCCGCCGAATAAGATTAACCCGGTGTACAGTTTTATTCGCCCTACGAAAAATCCAGACGAAGTGTCGATCCTCTTACCTTGAAAGTGTTTCTGTCGTAGTTTATTCAAGATATTAGTAGCATCAAATCCCGCATTGTCGCACAGCTGTCTGGGGATGATCTCCAGAGCTCGGGCCATGGATCCAATAAGAAGCTGTTCCTTTCCTGCGATCGACCGAGAAAAATCTCTCAGGTATTTGCTTAGTTCCATTTCGATCGCTCCCCCGCCTGCTACCACTGCATCATTTTTGATCGCTCGTCGTACAATCATGATGGCGTCGTGCAGAGATCTTTCTGTTTCTTCGATGAATTGTTCAGCTCCACCTCGTAAAATGACAGTGCACGTCTTGGCCTCAGGGCAACCAGTAAAGATGTTATATCTGAAATACGAGTAGAAATCGGTACTGTCAAACCTCTGTGAAGTGGTCACCCTCAGGAAATAGCAACACTGGAGATAACCAATTCATAGAGGTTAACTAAAACTTTCAGAATGACGAAGCCATAGAAAACAAAATTCATCGCACCATTTCACATTTGTATTTTACAAACGCGACCACCAAATGTAAGGCCTGGAACCAAACATGCACAGTCTGATCTTGTTATTGTCTAGAAGGTCACAAGTATATATAAACAGAACTTTTAAAACTTGTCCCTTGCTCGCTTGACTCTCTAACTTGTCGTAGGCAAACATCGACATCTGCTCACGCGTTCGAGCATGGGGTATTTCGTAGTATCTCCTGGGTTGTGAACGTCGCTAAATGTTGGAGCAGGTACGAACCGACACAAACCAGGAGCGAATCGTCTGAATTTGGGTACGAATCGACTGAGTACGAAACGTGTATTGTTATGAAACGACTAGATACCACTTAAACTTAAACACGTCACTTCCCTGTTTCCGTCAAATTCCACCCCCTCAAATTCTTTAGTTTCTTTAATTACAACATCGAAGATGGTTCCCATGTCATAAAGTGGTAAATTTTATCTAATTAGCGAAGTGATTTTTATACAGTGTCCTAATATTACTGCATACCTCTCTCCACCAATCTGCTCTTCTTCAAACAGTTCACATATGCCTAGAACTTCGTCTGTCATGTTATTGACTGTTGTTTGAATGGCACCACCACAGGCCTTCATAGTTCTCTTCAAGTCTTCTTCCACAACGCGACCAGCACAGAACATGTCCCTGAAAACAAACCGATCCTCGTCATGAAAATGCCTTCATATAAGACCCTCTCCCAATTTGAATGTTCTTGTAAAGGCCAATTTCATCACAATTGATGCAAGGCTAAAACAAATTTGGGGAATATCAGCAGATATTTCCCGGTATTTACAGTGAATCCTCTGTAAATAGCACTTTATAGAGGAGCCTGGCTAGACTTTCAACCAGACATTTTTCTGGTGAGGTAGCATCGCAACTGTATGGTTTTTGATATGTTATACTAGGAAATGAAGGATTGGTATTTTCAGAGTTTCACCAAACTTTAGTTCCTAATAGTCAACAAATAAATGCCACGTTCTTCTGATTGGGTGCAGCTTTTGTTCAAGGGTTGCATTCAATGGTCATTCTGGCTCAGTCTGCTGCAAGTAAACCTTTGACCCTTAGGAGTACCTAGCATCAAATTTCTGGTTACATTATCACCTCTAAATCAAACTTGAAGGTCAGGAGAATAAAGGAAACGTTGTCAGCTCCTTAAGAAATGTACAGAGAACAGTATGGAGAATATGCATGCTGATATTAGCGTGAAAAGGATTGATCGAGAGCAGGGTGTATTTGAGGGATGCATTTCAGAGAGGAAATATGATAAAAGAAAGTCTAACCTATCAGCAAAATATTGTGTGGCGACATCTCCAATGGGGAGCTTTGAGAGAACAACCTTTGCACCACTCTTGACTATCTTGTCCAGTTTGTCATAAAGGATCTCCCACTCAGCATCCACAATCTGCTGATATTCCTGTGGAAGAGAGAAAATCATCAGATCAATAGTAAGCCTCGTGCACTTCTGATGCGCATAATTCTGTGCATGGTTTCTATAGCGGAGAACCCTTTAAAAGTGGAGGCTCCTCTTCTATGATAAAGGCTCTCCCAATTTTTTTCCATAAAAAGGAAACACCCTATCAACAGTTTTCACTTCTCAGAATTGAGAACTAACTTTTGAATGGTGAAGTGAATATAAACCTTTACACAGAGTAAATCATCATATCCAGAAGTGTGTATTAACCATGACTAAGACACAATTTCTTCTTGCAGTACCAATACAATATCTAGCAGAAAAGTGATGAGAATAGCAAAAAATATTAACTAGGGGATTATCATTTGATCCAACACCAAATTCTCAGAGCAAACTTTCTTAAGAGTGTATAGCACACAGTAAGGAGAATTTCCATCAAGATAATAGGAGAGAAAGGGTTAAGCAAGTGATTTCTAATACCATCATAATGATATCATGAGCCAGGGTTAATCTTAAACCAAGAATTGATCATTACAATCTGGACTATACAAGGTGCTGATGCTCCTGAAGAAGTTTACAGATCCAGAGAGTTTTTTCATGCTCTTAATATATCATGGCAGCACTACACTTTACGTTCTGTGCCCTTACCTTCACATTGTCAAGTCTAATCTCTGCATTTTCCTTTTCTGCCTTCAGTTCAAGCTCTACATTTAGCATTGCAATCTTGGGATTCTTGTACTTTTTGGGTTGCATTTCAAATCCAGCATAGGAAAATGTCTTCTTGAAGGCCACACCAGCGATGAGGCGTGAATCTTCTAAGGCTCCACCTTTCACCTTCTTCATGCCAATCATGTTCAGTGGAAGAAGATCATCTAGAAGCATTACAGCATCAACTACCATCTTGGAGAAGAAGTCTTTATGGGCAGCTACTAGTTTGGAATTTAGTGAAGTTGCTGCACATCTTTCCAACAATACTCGCATTTCTCTGCAAGATCAGAAAGTTAACCATGACTATAACAAAATCCTCAAAGTGGTGAGATTTAGGAAAGTTGACTGCTAGGAGAAAGGGATACTATGTTTCACAAGACTATGAAAAAATTTTAACATAGTAAATATAAAATTTTAAGACTGAGTAAAGGTACATATTTTAAATCATAAAATCATTAAATTTTTTAGAGTAGCCAAAATTTCCACTGACATGTTCTACTTACTTGGGGTCATCTTTCTTGATTTTGACAGCAATCTCCTTAATTTTACTAATTGCCTGAAAACCAAGATAGAGAGATCAAAATTTAATCATTTACATAAAAATCTAACCATGCTGAGGTTTACCGTGCAACAGGAGAAAAGAATTGTACAGTTTTACTCACTAAATTTGCAGCCTTCCTAAAGCTCTTCACAGCAATCTGAGCATGAACTCCTTCTTCTATAAATGGTTTGACTTGCTTTAGAAATTCACTGGCAAGAAGAGTGACAGTCGTTGTTCCATCACCAACCTGTACATTGATTATACAAAATGAACTTCTCAATCTGTCAGTAAGTAACTTTTTAACCCTTTTTACCCTAACATCAGTATCCACATTCTCCTTACTCTTCTCTTCACATTTCTCTTGTACTGACAAGGAGAACTTGTTTCATGATATTGCCTTAAGGAGAAATTAGATGCTGGTCACTCCTTAGGGTTTAAAAAGTTCAAGCTAATTAAGTTATTTGTTTGTTTTTCAGAAGGAAACATCATCTAATCTTCCTCCCATTCATTTTCAACTCTTTTCTAATGGATGTATCCATGGTTTTTGTTCTTCTCTTCACAAGATTTTATTTCATTTTTTTTTATTTTATTTCAATATGGAAATAACTCTAGTTGTAATGCAGTATTTAAGTTTTAAGATACCCAACATACATAATAAAAGAAAACAACTAGTTTTGGGCGTTTTAATTACATAAGTACACTGAAAATTTATCTGCAGTTAGACTATCTCTACAGTTGATAAATCTTTCGTGTAATGGCACCTGATGGAAATAATGGTCGAAATGGCAACCTTTGGCGGTACAGAGAAATATTTATGACATATCGCCAAATACACAACAAAATAAGAAAAAGCCACACTGAGAAAGATCTACATTTCCTTCTTCAGGGAAAATTGATGATCAAGAAGATATAATTGCAGACAGGATTTTCCAACGAAGGGTGGGATGGTACGAACGGTGTATTTAATTCATGCGGCTAAGTATGTATGGATGCCATTTGTAAACGGAAGTCAACAACGTCGATCACTGACATTCTGACTACATTTACAATTGCACTATAAGAAATACTACAGAAATATAACCCTCGAGCAAATTACACACACCTCCGCGTCTTGCGACTTTGAAATATCTACAAGAGTTTTTGCCGCAGGATGGACGACATCTAAGAGACTTATAATTGTAGCACCGTCATTGGAAATCGTGGCTTTCCCTACACAGAGACCAAGAAGAAAATAAAGTAAGATGAAGTACTACTGTCTCTTCAGAAGTGTACATGCTCTGAACGACGGGAGTGTACTGTACTGTACTGTAGACCTACCTTGACTATTTACAATTAGTTTATCCATTCCTCTTGGCCCTAAAGTTGTCCGAACTGCATCAGCAATAAACTGACAAGCGTTTATATTGCTGATGAGTTGAGGAACACCCTGCGAGGCGTCTGTCCCCTCCTTGAGCAAAATTATACCCGGTTGCTGTCAAAATAATACATGTCAAACATGTGAGCGGAGTAGTTTTGAATCAGTGCTGCGCATCTAAATAAAATGTTTGTGAAGAGAAAGATGCGTCTTTTCCCTTCTCGTGTCATAAATGTAATCCTTATACTTGGCTTAACTACTCAAGATGGAAAAAGATGTTAATGTGTATCTTACCATCATGTTTCTTGTCAGGCGATGGCTCCAAAACAGCTGCGCAGATAATTCTTTTTGTTTCAGATTCAGCGCATAATGAATCAAGAAACCCGCTGATCGCACGGCTCGTTTGCTAAAAATTCCTACTTCTTATACAAACGATGTCCTGTTCATTTGATCAGCCGCAGGCAATATTGCGTGAGTGAAAACAGACGTGGCGCTTCCTCAGTTCGCCGGTGTTTTAATTGTTGATAAGCATTTCATTTACAAGCAAATTATGTTCGCAATCAGTTCTTGCTTGGAGTCATGAAGGAGCCCAGGTGTGTTTATTCACCTAGCTTCGTAAATAACTCTTGTTATTGCGGCAATCGTTTTGTAATATCCCCGATTAGGACAGAAATACAGAATGGTCGGCCGGTAAGTTAATTTTTTGTACCTTTAGATACAATATTTTGAGCTTATTACAGAGTATTATTGATAACAATATTCATGTAAGGGAAGTTCGGTAGTGCGATTCAGCCATGTTTGAGGTTAGAGAGGATGTGGCTTCCTCTATCGATAATTTTATATCCTTTCTGGCGTGAATTCTGTTTGTATGATTAAGAAAAAAAAATTCTATACGTCCATGTGCTTGTAGCGTGCATTCGGTATATATATTGAGGTAGCTTTTATACTGCCACTCCTGGCTAAACTTCAGAATACTCCTGATCACTCAAACTTTTTTGATCACAAAAATCACGAAATTCCAATTCGTTGGATTTCGTGTTTTCTTTGAAGACCTCTAATCAAGTGTCAAAATACAAAACAGAAAGGAAAGAAATATTACCAAGAGAAATCTCATTTTGGGTTGTTGTATGAATTAAATGTCGAGGTGGATGAGATCATTGTGAAGATAAATTGATTTTAAAGTGGAGAGAAAATTAACCAAGTACATTTTTCCTTTCTTTGGGCATTTGACACGCATTTGAAAAATCACAAAGGTCCCCTCTCAGACTGAAATATTCTAGAATATTTTTGGAGCTTTAAGTTGATAGGTACTTAATGTTTGTGGTGCTTTTGTGTTGGAAGGGGGGAGAAGAATTACAAGATAATTTGGTTTTATCAACATGATGTAAATTGGCCTCTATTAGGAGTTTCTAAAGCCAATGTTTCAAAACCCAGCTATTTGTCAGAGCATAACACAAAGGGTTAGAGCCCAAAAACCATTATTAGCTTAAGAAACTCTTTACAGTGGCCTATTAACATTATCAACTCAATTGAGAACACTAAATTATCTTGTAATTACAGAATCATTTCCCTTGTCACAATAACTTTTTATTCATCTGATAAGATACAGTATAAACAATTTTGTTCTTTTTTGTTCATTAGGATCTCAATACGATGGACCAGTCTTCCTTCTTTTCTTAGACCAGGAATAATATCATCCTCCTCAGACAGTACATGTTCTTGTACAAGAAGACTATTCTCACACATGTGTGGACTACAAAAAGACTCACTGCGAACTTTTATTTTTCTAGCTGTTATTTTTATCATTGTTTTACTAGGAACTCTTTTTCTTGTTGGTAATGTGAATTGGTATGGTAACAGAACTAGACGCTTTGCGTCAACGGATTTTTATGAACATGGAGCTGATTCTCACCATCATTATGGCATTGTCATTGACTGCGGAAGTAGTGGATCTCGTGTGTTTATTTATTACTGGCCACCTCACAATGGTAATCCAGATGAGTTGCTACAAATTAAACAAATGAAAGATACCAGGGGAAATCCAGTCAGAATGAAAATCAAACCAGGTATAATCTTCAGGAATGATTCTATGAATTATATCTGCAGTATAAGTTCTCCATGCCTGCTGGTTTTTAGATGCACCCTTCCCTAGGCCCAGTAAAAAGAAATGGTTTTGGTTTTTGGCTGAGCAAGTAACACAAGGCTGATCTGATATTATGAGCAAATCACCCCTGAATTATGTGACACAGAGTCTGATTACCAATTCATTGTGTCAATACAAGATGCAAGTTACTCAGGGGTGAAAAAAGTAATGCAAAAGCACGTACCCTTCTTATTGATACCCAATAATGGTCATTGGACCAGTTAGTTTTTCCTTTTTATTCTCATCACTTGTCTGTTTGACATTGTATTGATATTGTAAGGAGAAATTCTATCTTGGTCACTCATGAGAGTTTAAGGTTCAATTTATGTTGCTATCACTTATGGACTCTTTAAAACTTTGATTTTAGGGATCTCTAGTCAAGTTCATCGGCCGTCAGATGCATCATCCTACATTGATCCTCTTCTATCCTTTGCTGCACAACAAATTCCTGAACACAAGCACAAAGAAACACCTCTTTATATCCTGGCTACAGCTGGCATGCGAATGCTTTCTGTTGCTGATCAAGAAGCTATTTTAGATGACCTAAGAGTGGATGTTCCTTTGAAATACAATTTCCATTTCACATCTTCTCATGTTGAGGTCATCACAGGAAAGCAAGAAGGTACATGAGGATGTATATTTAGTCGAATAACACTGTACTTAAAGAATTTTGTAATTGTTTTGTTGTCAGTAATGTACAAAGTTCATCTTGCATGCCATTGCGCACTGAATTACAGGTCTAGTAAAAACATAATCTGCCAAAGTGGTTTTCCAAATCAATCTAGAACAAAACAATCACAAAATTATAATCCATTATTATAGTAGTTATTGTAAAAACATTATTGGGGGGAATGGTAACCAAGTTACAAGCTTAGTCCTCTGGAAGGTCTTGACAATCTGCTCTAACGAGATCAAACCCCAACAGTAATTGATAGCTTCCCAATGTATGAAATGAGTTGGTCTTTTGCTGTGTAGTCTTTTGTAGTGGAGCTAGTGCATTAAGCTACATTAGTGTTGCACAAGATCATTCTCTGAACAACATTTCCCACACCAGTTTAGGTTTCACATGACTAGTCTTTTCTTTAGAAGTCACCTTGATCAAAAGTAACCTTTTCATGGCAAAACTTGATGAAATTTTCTAGTGTGGACAACTTGAAAAGCAAATTTTGATTTTGAATTGGAAGACTTTAGTTACTTTCAACTCTTCTCTAAACCACAGTGTAAAAAATCATGCTTATGTGTGAAAGATGAGCTAGTCATCAGTTTTTAGTTATTGAATAATGCTTTGAGGTACTGCATATCTTATTTCACAGGAATTTATTCATGGATTGGAGTCAACTTTGAGTTGGGAAGATTTGATCATTCACATGATAGTCAAGGTATTTTACTTACCAGTACTGTAGATGGCATAATTTTTCAGGTTTTTATTCCAACAAATTAAATCTATGGCTAGATGAATGAGTAATGACCTCATGAGAAATTTCAATAACTCTTTATATCCCAGTATCAGTGTTTAAATTCTCCTTACTCCTCTCTGTACATTTTCTTGTGTACTGATAGGAGTAATTCATTTAACAATCAATGCTTCTTAGGTAATGGTAATCATTTTCTTTATTCTCTTGATCTCAATGTATGATTCAGCAGTGTTACTATGAAAAGAAATAAGATTTTGGTCACTCTTAGGGTTTTTAAGGGATAATGATACACTGTTATGTGAAACAAAGGGATCAAATTAGCCATGGTACTTGAAGTTTCTATCATAGAGGTCTAGTGCTTAAGAACAGAGGTGTTTTCATTGAATTATATAACCATGGTTAGTGGTGGTGTCAGGGCACTCAAAGAAAAGCTGGAAGAAATTGAAGATGATAACAACCATGTCTCAGTAAATAGGTCGGGGGTTTCTGACTGTGCACAATATTTTGTTCTCATGTTTGCACATCATGTTTGAATAAATTTGAGGTATTTCTCCACCTGTCTGTTTGTAGTGATCAATTGTGCATAGTTAGGTCCAAAAATGGACTGAAAATTTGTAAGAAATCTGTAGAGTTTTCTAACCAGGAAACAAACTTGCTACTGACTATGATCTTAGTAGCAGAAATTTATTGTTAAAGTGAGCATATTTTGTAAACTTTGTAATTTTATGTTATGATTTTAATTTTAACAGAGTCACCACTGAACAACAGTGTATCAGAAGTTAGCCGTAAAAGTACAGTGGGGTCTCTTGACATGGGTGGAGGCTCTGCACAAATTGCATTTGAAGTTGGGAAGTCTGTAAGTACCCAAAGGATAACAACATGAGGATAATGATATTAGTGATAGTTTAGTTAGTTATCTCATTCTTAATTAACCTTTTAACTCCCATGAGTGACCAAGACAGAATTTCTCCCTACAATATCAATACAATAACAACCCGATAGGTAATGAGAATAAAGAAAAATATCCAATACTAAATTCCTTGAACTGATATTGTAAGAATTGTATGATTGACAGTACAGAGAATTACAAATTTGATCTGGGAGTTAATGGTTAAGTGACCAACCTGCCTAATACACTAGCTATGGCTGTTTGCAAGTCAGTCAATGTAATATTGATAATCTGAAAATGGAATTTAAAAAGTGTAAAAGGTGACTAAATTCACTTCTAAGAAAATTTTCATGATTCACGCACAAACTCACTAAAATGACTTAAGATATGCTTTGTAAATAATTGTGGACTATGAAGTTGATTCGATTGAAGAGGCAAGATAAGGAAACCAGCGTATAACATTCCTCTGTGTTTTAGGTATGGGTTCCATCAGAGTTAAGTGCGCAAGTCAACCTGGGCTGTGACTCCCACAAAACTACACACAATTACCATCTCTATGTTGCTACGTTCCTTGGGTTTGGAGGCAATGCTGCTAGAGACAGATTCACAAAGCTTGTCATCACCAAGAATAGAACATTGAGCATTGATGAGTAAGTAATTATTCCAAGAGACAAAGTAAACGAGGAAAGTAATCGTTTCATGTTGTCCTCAAGTAGCATCTTAAAATGTTATAATGGTTTCTTAGGAGGCCTTTAGCTATTTAAAAAAATTAGTAAGCGAATTGAAAACAAGTCTGCAAGCTTTCACCTACTCAGATCCCTGATGATATCGTGGATTGGTGAAAGCTCCGAGACTTGCATAACTCATTTTTACTTTTTACAGTTGTTAAAGTCTTACTAGAAAGTTCTGTGCCATATAGGGGGGAAAGTTGAATCTGGGCTTTTATCCAAGTGTTGTAAGAAACAATGAGCTGTATTGCCATAATTTCTTTTGGCTGAGACACGAGTCCACTCCAGGTCCTTAACTTCTCCCATAGGTTTGCTTATTGGTAGGGCGCGGCATTTGGTGAATAAAAATTTCTTCAAAGGAGAAAAAAAATAATGAAGTAGCGGTTACGGCTGGAACTATGAAGTCTGCTCGAACGCAGACTTCTCGGTCTGCAATCCAGTGCGTAAAGGTCTTTGCGACTTTGAAGTTTTAGCTTGTTTATGTCTGATCTTTCTATGTGAGTCTCAATGGGTTGATGGCTTGTACGGCTAACGTTCAACAATAAAAATTAAACGATTAATTTTTTTTACGACTAACGGTTAAATTTTGTCAATTTTTACGCCTAACGGCTTAATGTTTGGCTGTTTTACGGCTAACAGTTAACCCCAACTTCTACATTTCAACATTCAACGAGCTATATCTCTAAACTTGTCAAACACACCTTGCCTTTCTTTATTCAGTGTTTTGTTCTTTCTCCAACCTGATGTAGAAAGCTTTCCAAACCCTCATTTCACAAAGGCTTTTTCTAAATTGACGCGCCAAAAAAAGTTTTGATTTAATGCGTCTCTCTTGCATTTCATGTATCACATGTACCACATCATTATTCTCTTTGCATACACAGCACATCTGGTGCGTATCTCGATCCATGTTTACCCGCTGAATGCACAGAGCAAGGAACTTACAAGGGAAAGAAATACAACTTCCTTGGAACAGGAGAATATATCAAATGTAAAGAACTGATTCTTCCACTACTGAACCGTACCAGACCCTGCCCAAAAAAGCCCTGTTCGTTTAACGCTGTCTATCAGCCTCGTATTGATTACGAGACCGTAGAATTTTACGGATTCTCCGAGTATTGGTATTCAATGCATGATGTCTTGAGAATCGGGGGACAGTACAGTGCGAGTAGCATGAGGCAAGCTGTAGAGGTGAGATTTTCGATTCTTAGCAAATCCTTAACGTCTACCGACACAACACAGCGGTCATATGTTGAGCATGCGCGAGGTGATCAATTTTAGCCGGCCGCGCGCCAATTTCCCGCGCAAAATTTCAAAGCATAAAATGAGAAACAACCTCTGTCTCGCAAAATAAATGGAAGAAGATTGAAACGTTCTTAGAAATTTGTAAAAGGAAAACTCAAGACTTTTCGAAGATAAAGTTCATTCAAGTACGAGTAACCTGTTAATTTACCATTCTGTTTGGAGCCTTACAAAAATCTTTTTGCGCTTCTAAAACACGGTGACTTACTGGCTTGTGCGGTTGTTTTTATCTCGTGTGAGACAATTCGGTTCTGACACCGTGAAGCACGTTACCGACATTACCTCAGTAGTCCGTACAACCGCTGTGTTTCGTTTACCGTACCAATTTCTGAGAGCTTTTATACTCAGCTGTAAAATAGGGAACAGTATGTTAGTGTCTTCTTACGACAAAGCTTGTCGACTATTAAACTGACCTTTTTCGATATCATTTCAGGAATTCTGCAGTACACGTTGGTCTACTCTCGTGTCACGCCATTCTAAAGGCCTCTACCCCTTCGCAGATGATCACAGGCTCAAGTAAGACAGTTTATTTGCAACGTTCGGGATTCAACTTGCCGTAATTCGTAAAAAAAACCCAAGTAATCGCAAGGGTCAATCAGAACAACAGAAAATAAAACATGAAGCCAATGAGAACTCAAGGCTTAGACCTGCGCCGTAAGCGCGGAAAATGAAAGCGACTAAGGCGCCATCGGTTTTGCATTTAATTGGTTTATATGGTGATGTGGTTTTTCTGGACCAATCACGAAGAGACTCAAAGAACAATCCCGGATTAACTACAAACCAACTGCACGCCTCTAGGCGCCCGATATCATATACCTCATGATCAGCTACCATAGTTTCAGTAGCCTCAGTTTACTTGAGGCTGTGCAGAATTAAGTCGAATATTTTTATAGACTGATTATTATATAAATGAGCGTTACTTTCTTTGAGCAGTTAATTTGATGATGATGAACTGTTTTTTTGTTAAGGTTTCAGTGTTTCAAAGCAGCTTGGATGACCACAGTTCTTCACGAAGGCTTTAAGTTTCCTCAAAACTACAGCAATTTACGTTCTGCCTTCTACATTCGCGGTAAAGAGGTGCAATGGACACTCGGTGCTATACTTTATCGGACAAGATTTCTCCCTCTAAGGTAAGGCAACGAAGTTCCGCTCAGTTTGAAAGTTTGTTAGTTTTTAGCCATTCGGTAACGTCGCTCATGATCTGTTGACTAAACGAACGGCTGATAAATAATCAATAAATCAGAGAATAGAGTTCTAACTTTATTTTGCAGTATTTTGTAGCTACGTTCATGACTGGAACGCTTTTCCGCAAGTTGTCTTCAAATTACAACCAAAGTAATTTCAGTGGCCAATAGATGAACATTCGAAGTGACTAACGACTCGCTACAAGCGAGGGAAAACGCGTGCTACCAAGTTGCAGTTGATTGGTTTATCATTTGATAGGTTAGAATGTGGCGCGAGCTTCTTGACCAATCACAGATCGAAGTAGAGCGAAACGATTTCAATCTCAAATTGCTTCCAACACTCCTTTGGAAATTGCTTTCGTCCACAGTGGTTTCATTATAACACCGTTTTGTTTTAAATTTACAGGGAAGTCCAGTTACACTCGCAGTACAAGAGCTCTTACCACGCTTTCTGGAGTTACGCCAGTGACCTTCAATTCCGCATAATTCTCCTCGTGTGTAGCATCACAGTCTTAGCCGCCATATTGCTCTACTGCCGGCGTCTACGGCGCATGAGCAAGAATTCTAGTATCTGGCATTTCGATTCATCGCCTGTGCTTTACAAAGTCGATGTGATACCCAGTATTGAGAAGATTCCAATGATATGACACAACGTGGACTGGTATAGAAGGCCATACTAACATATAGAAATTATGAAAATGTAGATCATTGTACAAAGGAATTACAAAGAGTTATTAAACCTGAAGAAAGAAAACGCTGAAAAAAGACGATAAAATTCTTCCATTATTTTCGTTTCAACTTGTCTCTTTAAATAAAATTATATATTAGCACAGGGTTTCTCCCAATTATAATGATTTGATTTTAGGAGAGAAAAGTTA